GTGAGTTTTCTTTATTATAAGTACTTTGTACAGAGCCACGACTGTCTGAACACGAACACATACCAGTCTGTATACCACATTGAATAAATCTGAATAAAATGAGAGCAATAACCTACACTTTGACATAAATCTAGTGGCGGAGAATTCCTACAATATATGTATATTATCTTAAATATGTATATATATATATATATATATATATATATATATATATATATATATATATATATATATATAGATATTTATATATGCGTATGTATTTCTTTTCAATTTCAGTCTCGTCTCACCATTCTCCTATACGTATTTCGTAGTCTACCATTTATCAGGGAGACGTCTGAAGACTTGAATTGAACAGAACTGTTCTGTCTAGTGGAAATTATTACAATATATAACGTAGTATTCAGTACGTCAAGTTTTAAATTAGATATATACCTTATAAACGAAAACGAACCTTATATACCTTATATTCACGAACCTGCTTCGCTGACCCTTTGCCTATAATTTGTCATTATACAGTGCTTGTTTAAAACGATAAGCATAGATTTTAATAAATGTTTGTAAACAACATGTGTTTATACGCCCGCGAAAGAAGTTCAAATAATAAAATGGATTTATGGTGGTACTTCTGTACAACAGTATGTATATTTATTTTCTGTGTTTTTTGAGGGGAGACCAATTCCTTGCGTACAGTCAATTCATAATATTGTTAAAAATTTTGAGAGTTTTCATCTCCTCAAAAATTACAGAAAATGTCACGCTCAAGAAGTGTCAACAGAGACAGAGACATCTCAATTCTGGAAAGAATTTTCTTGTCAGGGTCCTTGTAAATGTTCAATAAGCTTTCAAAATATTTAAAATTAAGATAGATTCATGCTCAAAGATACACCCTTAGCTCCCTGCCACTAATTAAAGTCCAAACTCTCATCTGGTCTACTAATGAGGCAGCTCCTCTTCAACCGGTACATCACATGAATATCCCGCCTTCTCTCTCTCTCTCCCTCTCTCTCAAGTATTTGCTGCAGATTACTCTCTAATATTTCCATCTTTCTGACAATTAATGTTACTGCCTCCACTATTGCTCTATATTCAGTCTTTCTCCTCATTGCTACCTGCATTATAGTATTTGCACTTACCCTACCTACCTTCCTGCGTAAGTCGTTTTTTCCCTCGTCGAACATTCTGGACTCGAATACATAGGGCTCAGCCGTTTTAGTCACTCCACAGCCTGTGTAGTTTGCATCCGCAACCTTCCCTCTTCTTTCCAGGTAGAACCTGAAGGAGTCATGTACCCTATTAGGAACTGGGTGAAAAAGTAATTATTATGTCTCTGTCACAGTCCATTCTGCGATATTTGCTGCTTTCCGCTTCCTGCCACTCCGTTATGCTGCTATTCCTATCTAATATTTTCTCCTGTCCATCCTTCCCGTATGTTTCCTCCCTTTCCTTCACCATCGGGTGGATGGGTAACACACCCGTGATCACTTGTATGGCCACCGTTGATGTTGTTCTGCAGGCACGTGCTACCCTTAATAGTGCTTTTCTTTGGGCTTTCTCTAGCACCCTCCTATATTTCTTCATGTTAAGCACTTGCAGGCTACTGTACTCTAGCGATGCCGCTAGAGTAGAGTAGACTGCTTACATTAAAATTCTGCTTCTGGCAGACCCTGCTCCTCCCACGTTAGGCATAATTCTTGTCAGCACCTCTCCTAAGTCCTGAGACCTAAGTCCTCTCCTCTGACTTGCGAACGACGTATTTATCGTGCTCACCAGAAGTTCGCCTCCTATCTGGGACTGTGTTACTTTTTTGGCAGGTAAGATCCTTTCTCTCTCCAGAACAAAATCTATATAGTCTCTGGCCCTCCGACCTTTGAGAATCATACCTTCAATTTTCTCGATCGTCAGCATGAGGCCTCTGCTTCCCATCCACGCCTTCACTTTGTTGAATATTCGGTTCCCTCTATGCATGATTGATCAGTTTTCGTTGTACTTCACCAGCACCACCAGGCCATCCGCATATGCTACCTCCAAAATCTCATTTTACAGAACATTCCATAGCAATGGCCCCAGGACCGAGCCATAATTTTCCAACTAGCTCTGTTAAAAGCATTTCTTATATCGAGGACGAAAGCCACCATCCATCTGCTCTTACATATGGATATCTCCCCCTTGATCCTGCTTATGACGTCTACTACAGATTTTCCTTTCCTGAACCCATACTGGCCGTCGTCGGGTATAATTCCTTTCTTCATTATCTCCCTCTCCAGCCTTGTCTTCACAAGAATCTTAAAGACCTTGCCTAAGGTATTTAACATATCGGTCTTATCTGTCTGGGTCTGTACCCACCAGGATCTCCTAATTCCTTTCCCCCTTTCCCGGATAAGTATGAGATTTACCGTTTTCAGATCTCCTATGAACTCTTGCCTTCTTAGCAGGTGATTTATAATATCCCGTAGATATCCATTGCACCATCTCCACAATGATAACTTTTATTCACGATATCCTCAATGATATTAAACCCTCTACAGGTTTCTTGGATATCATTTCTGGGTGTACATTGAACATTGTTGAACCCATTCCTCGTTTTATTAAAAACCTTCTAATGTAGATACGGTCCATTTTTATGCTTGCAATTTTATGAGAGTAGAGTTATTTTAAGAGCTGAGATAATAACTGCCAAGTCTAGTCAATTATCTATAGAAATGCGCACGTTTTTTAAAAACTCGCAACTTTTATGTAGATGGATACGCATACAGAATAAAGCCTCTCAGTTTCCCAGCCTGTTTTAAGATCCAAACTATTCATCACTCAAATTTCTCTTCACAGAGCGAGTAAGTTATTCCACAAACTTTGGTGGTGTCTGAAAAATACTTTTTCTTTTCTGTCTACAATAGTTGCTCAAAAGGAAACAGCTTGGAAAAGTGGAACCTCGAAAATGTGATTCTCCCTTCTTCTTCTTAGTGTGCCTCATCATTTAAGAACATAGTCGGTCATCACGGCCCATTGTAGTCTGCTAAGGAGTTGTATTATTGTTTTTCCATTCCACTGCTTTAAAATTTTCAACCAGGACACGCATCGCCACCCCAGTTTTCTTTTTTCTTTCACCTTCCCTTGTGTTACAAATCGCATAACTATTTTTCATTTCTTAGTATGAGATCAAAGGAGCTCATTTTTCTTTCCTTCGCAGTATGGAGAATTTGTTTTTCTTATTTCACATTTCTCAAGGTTTCCGTATTTGTTACATATTGTGTTCATGGTATTTTCCACATTCTTCGATAACACCATGTCTCCAAGCTAGCAAGTCCATGCTTCAACTCCATATTCAGGACACAGCATATACAGCGACAACAACGCAATACTCTAGTTCTAATTTCTATTCAAAGTTTTGCATTGCATAATACTATAATACTGCTTTCATCTTTGTCAAAGCCCTTCTAGCCATCGCAATGCGTTATTTTATTTCAAGGGTAAGGTCTCACAGTTCATTTAGCTCACATCTCGGCTACTTTCCCAGACACTTTCTCTAAATTCTTTCATCTCAATTGTTCACTGGCAATCATGATTTTTGATTTTTTGTGTGTTCAGAGCCATTCCATGCATCTCGCAGCACTGCGTAGTACAATCAACCAAAATATGTCGCCCTTCTCTGCTGTCCGCGAGGAGTCTCATATCGTCTGCATATCTGAAATTATTCGCTAATGTTCCGTTAATTGATATGCCTTTTTTTAGATCTTCTAGTGCCTCTTTAACCATCTCTTCTGAGCACATATTAAAGACAGTACACATCCTGGTCGTACTCCTTGACTTATAGGTACCCCTTTAGATTTTTTTGTTTTGTTGAAGGCTTTCTCAAAGTTATTTTAACATGTGAATACTATGTACCATTAGTTTATGTATCGATACCGTTCTATGAGTGTTTGTACAGTAAGTACTGCCCCTTTAGTGCCAAAATCTTTTCTAAATCCCAGTTGGTTTAATGTTAATCTATATTCTCGTTTTTTGTAGACACGTTCGTGTATCAGTCACAAGAAGATTTTTAGAACATTGTTCATCAATCGGATCGTTCTAATTCTTCATATTTCATTTCGTTAGGATTTTTGGATATTGAGATGAACACAGATATTGGCTTTCTTTGTTTATTAGCCTTATTAGCCAGTTGTTGTTATATGATGTTTTTTAAGATCTTCTCTAAGTTCCTCAATTTTTCTGTTGCGATAAGTGGTCCTTGTCTTTCTACTTCCTGATCTTACTTGTGTAATTGTTTTTTTATCTGTTGGCAGAGATCAGCGTCTTTCAGTTTTCCCAGATTCATTCTAGGTGTTTTGGTGGTTGTTTTTATTTTCTGCTAAAACAAGATCAACATATATTATCTGCCCTATGTAAGCTTTAGTGTACGTTACGGAATCTTTGGTTTATAATGATGATATCCATATGGCTCCTTACTATACTCTCACCATCATTTCTAGGGGTTTTGCAGGTGTATATTTTTCAGAATTGTACTTTGTACCATCTGTTCTTGTACATATTGGAAAAAATTTCCAATTTTTTGTTGTTAAAAAATGCGAGATAATCGACATTTATTAATTAAACACTACGTGTTATATATTGAATCAAACAATAAAGATTACAGAAACCAGGGTAAGAAAATTGCATAAATGTTTGGAAAATGTTGATTATTATTTGCAAATTTTTTTTAAAGTTACGGTGTCTAGTAATGTTATAATTACGGTTTAAAATAACAGAATATTTGTAAATAAAGATATTATTGATCTTTGGATCTACAGATGAATGAATGAAATTATAACACTAGCAGAAGAACAACAAGGTTTTAGGTCGGGAAGCTCATGTACCGACGCCATATTTATAATAGGCAGGTGAAAGAGAAATTATTCTTCTTCTTAGAGTGCCGTCTCCCTACGGAGGTTGGCAATCATAATGGCTATTTTTATTTTAGATCTTGCTGCTCTAAACAAACAAATCAATCGATCTGCATTGATACCAAG